GTCTTAGCCTCAGTTCTATTTGGGAAGGTAAATTTGTCGGGTCTGTACAACCATTTGAGTCTGCAGCTGGAGGCTTTGACGACTCAGTACTCATCTGTACAGAATATTATCTGCACTCAAATAACTACCATCCCAGGGGAAAGGGTTCTATCACAATAGACACAGTTTAGCCATGGCACTGAGAATGAGACATTCAAGACAAATATGTTTGGAATTCCAAACAACTTAGCAGAAGCAATATTGAAACAGTGCTTCTAAAAGGCAGCATGATTTATGATGATCACTACAGATTAATACCAACATATATCTAAAGAGCAGTTTGTTAAACGAGCCCCTTGATCACTACACCATTTATCTCAGTGCTTCCTGCCAAGCAGCCTTCCCCTAAATTGCGAAGGATTTTTACACACTTTTTCTCCCAAGGTCACAGTTGACACACAAGTGTATCAAGGACCTATCACCATCTCAGGTCCATGCAAAACAAAACAGCATTAGAACTTCTCCACAGCTAACACAAACTTCAATGTTAGAAAAAAGAGTATTCTACATAAACTGCATATAAGTGCCTGCTAGAATGCTACATCAAATAAACATGGTGAGGAATTTTATGGGTTGATTCACAACAAATAACACTGACAGGGCACCGCAGAGATTCAGATTAACCCAGGTTAATGGTATAGCATAACCAGTCAAAACTCTACATCCAACATGAAAGAGAAAATCACAGCAGTGGCAGCCAACAGGGAGGGAGGGAGGGAGGGAGGGAAGAGTTGGGAGTTATACCCCGCCCTTCACTCGGAGTCTCAGATGTTCAGCAGATATGAGTAAGCAACCTGTAGTTCCTTTCTGTAGTCTCTTCAATCCCACATACGGGAGACTCATGTGCCCAGAGAGGGTGAGGTGTCCTTAGGAAAATAGGTTGTGATGGATTGCTATCCCAAACGCTGTATCAGTTCATGCTGGAAGGCCCATTACATAACATTGGATGAAGGTAGTGTTCGAAAAATTGGGAAAAATAATTAAATATTCAGAGATTGCAATGGATCTTTGCTTCACTGGAGAGGAGGCATTTGCTTCTATGTAAAAATCTTTATTTCTAAAGGGAAGGGTTCACAAAAAATCCCCTGAATGCATTAACCAATGATTGTTAGTAAATAGGCTTCAGTTTCCCGGGCTCTCTTCCCATTGGCTCTGAGCCAGGTTTCTCTTCCAGGTCAGTCTAAACAATAGCACACAAGGTAAACAGATTAACCCTATAATGACTGAATTTTAGACCTTGCAACACACATATTTCCAACAGGTAGGAGAGATGGACCTAGTAGCACCTTTACATGACAGAAATACTTCTTCTATCTTGTGCCTTTTTAACATTTTCCTCAATAGAGGTCCATCAACTCCAGGTGGAATTGGCTTCCCGAGACATTCATAATGGAGAGTAACTAACAACCAGCTATGGAAGTAACTTTAAGAAGAAATCCTCAGACATTTTTTAGGATCAAAATAGTACATAAAAAAGAAAAGGGAACATGAAGAATAACGGTAAGAGACAGCTTACTTTTGGAAGAAAGGCATGGCCAGGTCATATTGATGTATTAGAAGGAGTGCCTTGAATGTGAGAATACTCAGGGGCAGAGGGCCATCAGTTCAAAGGGTTTGCATATAAAGTGGGAGAGAGCTACAGACAGGCTTCATATTGGTGTAGGGGGCTTTATGGCTGGGTACAAATTATGAAGTCCTTTAAAAACTACATTATTACGAAAACTGGATGTCCCTCAACTGGGGAGGGGGGAGTGAAAAATTGAAATTGCAAATCCATGAACTTTAATGACTTTGGAATTAGTTGTTTCTCCATAAATTACAAAGTCATCAAATGTAAAATGTAATCCAGAATAGAGTGACCAGAACTGGGGAAAAGATCAAATTTATGATGCTCAGCGTAATGTACAAAGCAAATCCATTTATTCACAAGACTTCCTGGCAAAGGGGGCTGGACTCCATGACTCCATGCCACAAATGGTGGCGCTTTCCTCTGATATATGGAACTTTCCTTCAGAGCAAAAGCCTCTTGCTTCAGAGGATGCTGCTGTTTAGAAAAGGTGAATGTTGAATATGCACTCAGTGAATACTAATCCAGAACAACCATTACAGGCAGGCTAATGGTTGCAGAACAAGTCTTTCCTGCTAGCTTCCAGTCTGAGAAAGCTGGCAGGACGACAATCCGTATATTGATAGCCGGAGGAACAACAGATGCATTTCATAGAATCACAGAGTTGGAAGGGATCTCCAGGATCATCTACTCTAATACCCTGCACAATGCAGGAAATTCATAAATATTTCCCCCCCCCCCCGCACACCCCCAGTGACTACTGTTCCACATCCAGATGACAAAAAACCTTCCAAGATCTCCAGCCAAACTGGCCTGAAGAAAAATTGCTTCCTGACCCCAAAGTGGTGATCAGCACTTCCCTGGGTGTGTAAGAAAAGGCCACAAGAACTAAGCACTGAGGCAACCCTTCCTGCCCTCCCTCTCATGATCTGCCAAAGTTCACACAATCAGCATTGCTGTCAGCCTCTTGTCTGAAAACCTCCAAAGAAGGAGAGCCCACCTAGAGATGTAAAATTTCCGGAAATTTTGAAGCTCGGAAAAAACCCCGGTTCCCCCCCCCCCCCCAGTTTTTTCACAACTAGCATATTAAAAACATAGTTTATCCAAACAATTATTACAAACAAAACTGAAATCTTATTTTCTTCTGACAATAGCACCTCCTAAAGGAAGAAATGCATCTTGTTGTTGCATTGGAGAGTTCAGTTTGTAACCTAGGACTTGCTTGTCCTCAGTGCACAGAAATTAGATCACTCTGATACCATATACATATATTTTAGAAATGATCTGGAAAATATTTGAACACCTTGTCTTAAAATATTTATTCATCATGTTAAAATAAAATGTTCCATGATCTTTTTTTTTCTTTTTTCAATTTTTCCAATTTTTCGGCAAAAAACAAAAAAGGCTTCAGGAAAAAAAGGGGTTTTTTTCCGAATTTTTCTGGGCCTTCACATCTCTAACCCCACCACCTCCCGAGGAAGCCTGTTCCACTGAGGAAGCGCTCTGTCAGAAAGTTCTTCCTAATGTTTAGCCGAAAACTCTGCTGATTTAATTTCAACCCATTGGTTCTAGTCTGACCTTCTGGGGCAACAGAAAACAACTCCCTACCATCCTCTATATGACAGCCCTTCAAGTCCAGGGGACTTAGGGACTGGGAGAACAGTTTACTAGGTAACTTTCCAGTAGGTAGCAAGGGAAGACTCTCATGTTGAGTATAGATAATTCTATACTCATACTGAGTATAGATAATTCCCTTTTGTGAGAGATCAGAGCACATATTCAGATATAAAGATGAATTTGGAGGACTGAGGCAAGTCTGACCTCAAGGAAGAAGGCCAACAAAACAGCAGATACACAGCAGTCTGAAAATCTTACGACTATTCTACCCAACTCCTGATTTACCATCACAAGCTTGAGACCTGGGCCAGCTGAGTAAAATCCATATCCCCCATGGCAGAACATGCTGCATGCCAGGTCTATTGCACCACACACCTATTGAGGATGGACCTCCAGGCGACTGAATACAAGAGGAAGTTGGTACACTTGGGCATGACTGATTGGGAACCAAGCCAAGACTAGGGCCATTGACAACTAGATCAGCAGATAAAATGTTTTGTAAGTCACCTTGGGCTGGTTCATGGAGACACATTATAATTTTAAAAATAATAATTCTAAATAAATAAAGTTGTAGTCTTGTTGATGTGGTGTCTGTTTCTTTTGGGGGTCCTGCAAAAGGTGCATAGAAATACAAGGTGGCTCGTGTCTTTAGCATGTTTGGATGAGCTTTGGAGCTCTGTGTATTTTATTACACTTTTATCCTGCTCTTCCTCTGAAGAGCTTAGGGAAGCATATACTGTTCACAGCCTCCACCACTTTATCCTCATAACAACCCTGTGAAAGAGGTTCAAGTTGACAGTGACTGGTCCAAGGCCATGCAGTGCATTTCACAACGAAGTGGGGATTCTGAACTTGGATCTTCCACATTCTAATCTGACAGTGTGACCACTATACCATATTGCTGGCTTTATTAATTTATTCTTCCACAGATGGCTGTGGACCAAGGGGATCAGTGGGAGTGGAAGGGAGTGGCAGGGTTGACACTGGAGAGATTCTTGACTGTGTTCTTAGCCAGAGGCTCCAGTAGCTATCGGTGCCTTCTCCCATAGTGACAGCCCAAGTCTGGAACATTATTTACAACTGATTTACTTGGTGAATTCCTGGCAGTCATGCCCACCTAAAGTGTGTACTTTTTCCCTCCACAGCTCTTTTTGAACAAGACCCATTGCACCATAAACACATATGAAAACTAAAGGAAGATGCAGATTAAAATAAAAAGGACTCTTTCCACAGCCCCCCTAACAAAAAGGGGGGGGGGAGTCCTCTGCACAGACATACAACTCATACATGGGACTACAGAGTGATCATGAAGAACACCTCCCCCCCAATTTGAGGCCAAAGGGCAGCAAAAATGTGAGGAACCTTCCCAGGTGCTGCAAACTTCCTTTCCCCACCATAGACAAAAGCTAAAGAAGGATGAATCTTAGTGTGGCATTACCATCTTAACACATCCCGTCAGTGGCAAAGGCCCTTCATAATATTAGAGTTTCCATGTTAGTTACAGGACAACAGAAGGGAAAAACACTGAGACTGGAAGTAACCCTCTCCCTACCCCCAAACCAAAGTATGTATATTCTTACTTGCTTTTCTTTTTGATCTACCCTATTCTAAAAACTGGAGCTCAACTTCTATTCATTGAAATAAGACAAACAGTAAACGGTGTAGTGCTATTTTACTGAAGCAAATTTTAATGACAAACGTTGAGTCCAAATCAGAATCTCCGTTTAAAATACAATACATTCGAAGAATGTAGTGACCTTTACATAAATTCCATCTATATACATAACCATTTCCATATCAGAGGGTCTAGAGCTCTGTCAGGGTCTGCAATATTTTGAAGAGGTAATTTTCCAGTATCTGTTCAATTATCAGACGCAACCAAATTGCATCACAGAAACAGCAGCATCCTAGGGTAGCTTTGCTGATTCAGACTGCAGACTGATTTGCCACCTGGGAACAGGAGAGGATCCTTCTAGAAGACACAAAGTAGACTCTTCTGTTCATTGTTTATATATGCATAGTGCCCTGTTTTGTTTCTCTTTACTTTAGGCTTCGCCAAATGGAACAGTCCTGTAAGCAGCATTTCTGCCTTTCTTCCCTGTACAAGCTGGGTGCTGGGTGCCCTTTTGAGTTTTCCACAATTACCACTACTACAGTTGCCTTGCCAATCACTGCCCTATGTGCCTTTTCCAGTCTTCTAATATGAACACTGTCCCCCCCACTGCCAATCATGTTATAGACCTGACCACTTCCAGCATTACCCAAGCAGTGTGGGAGCTGATGTTACCTCACGACATATTCAGATAGCATCAGAAGCCCAGGAGGAGTCCTAAATATTGCCAACGTCACCCCTCTAGAAACTGAGGCAACACTGGCATGGGAAGAAATGCATTGTGGGCTCCTCCCACATGGTCCATGGCTTCTAAAATTACCTGTGTGGCAAGGAAGGAGCCATGCTGCAGCAGCTCTCACAATGCTTGTGTAATAGCAAAACCAGTCCTCAGATGACTGTTCAGAATATAAGGCTGCAAGGGCATTTCTAGAAGCAGCTATTCACTTGCTGACTGGCAATGAGGCTCATAGAAGGAACACATGTGGATTAAACAAACATATCAAGACATGGTTATAAGAACTGTCACTGAACGTCTGGCTGGATCCAGCAGAAAAGCTTGTGGACAGAACTGGTGCAGCGACCGAATGTGTTCCACAAGCAACAGAGCACTTTTCTGCAGCAATGAAATGGATGCTTCAAGAGTCTGTGGGTAGGACATACATACTACCTCACAGGTAGAGATTATAAAAACCGTGAGGAGGAGATGATTTTTCTGAGTCCATAACCAGAGCAAAGAGCTAAGCAAGGATGAACTATCAGTGCCTGAATACAGACACAACAAAGAAAAACAAGAACCAAGACACTCATTGATGCCCCACCTTACATTGCTTTCTGGTTCTGCAGTATTTATCATTACATACACACAATCAAAGATCAGTTCCTTGGGATGGATGTGTGTGTCCACTTAATTCTTAATAGTTACAAACCAAACAGTCACACTCAACCCAGTTATAATATTCCCACAAGGAGATAATTATATGGGTATGAGTTTCAGTAGCACTGCACTAAGGGCACATTTAAATAAAAACTATTAAAAAAAATTAACAAGTGAGGAACAACACATCTCAGTAATCAAAGTTTTAAAACCAACAAGGAGGGACTTCCAATTAGGAACCAAAGTGACACATTTGTTCTCATTGACCTTCAGGAACACGTTATATACACGTTAAATAGTCACGCTGAAATCACTTTAAATGATTTCCCACAGTAGTCAAACATTGAAGATTTCCTCTGTTGCCAGCATCTTGATTTCAGGTTTGCTGGGGCATGGAGAAAATTCCTCAACCCGCATGGCTGGCTGCTACACATAAATGGCTTGCCCTGTTGGGGATGGCCAACATGGGCAGTCATTTTAAAGTGGTTTCCATGCGGTAGTTGTTTCCTGAGCTCCAGCCCTCAACTTGGCGAGCTCCCTCCCATCCCTTACATACACACGCACACAATTATTCTGGATCATATCCAAGAATGGGTCCCAGCCATTTTTCAACCTCTGCCACCGCAATGTTTTTCCTTAGAGCATAATCTTCCACCTGCAGAACGAACAAGAGGGTAACTGATTTAGCATGTTCACTGCTGAAGCTTTTGCTTTTCAGTATGCTCCAACAAATCTAGAAATGTAGTTTAACCCACCATTCCCCCATGAGAACGGCCACCTTAGAAGGCTGCCCATTCTCTTTACCTGATCTTTCAATATTTTTCCAACAGCAAAGTATTTGGATTCAGGATTAGAAAAATAGAGACCGGATACTGCTGAAGCAGGTATCATTGCTAGAGATTCAGTCAGCTGGATACCTGAGAGTGTGAAAAGAAAACATCTTACTTAGGATCTGGTGTAGTGTAACAGTTAAGAGAATGAGCTATTAAGTTCACATTCCACCTCAGATATGAACTGACTGGATGGACTTAAGGCAAACCATTGTTTAATCTGCTCTTGTCTCTGCCTCCCTAGGTGTGCAATATACTGGCCCACTTCACTGTTGATGTAAAGACTGATTATCTGTATATATAATGTGAGTTTATCTTAGCACTTATGAAGAAGTGTGCTACAGAAACACAGAAACACAGAGACTAAATTCTTATAGTGCCTTGGTAGCACGGGAGTGGCAACAGCCCTGCTGCTTCTCATGTCCCTTGTGCAGCATGAAGAGCCCAATCCATGCTGCAGTTCCTCCCTGCACCAACATTCACCTAGTTGTCCAAGAATTAATGCTGGTGCCGTGAGGAGCTGCAACATGAGCGCCTCTTGGGTGAGATGTCAGGCTTCTGATGATACCAGTGCTAATGACCCAGCAGTGATGCAGCTTCCATGCAGGTGAGGCAACAGAACATCCTGGATGAAGCACTGTATTTCTTACTCGTATTGAAAATTATTGGCAGGGAGATCCTCCTCATGGATATTGCGGCCACTTTAAAGAGCTTTTAATTACAAGCAATATTACCATAACTTTGAAACATTCTGTTTCAATGCATGCGACTATATTCTTGTGTGTATAGTTTTTTAGTCCAGAAAAGATCTTTGGGGCATTGGCAGGATGTTTGTGAGAACTGCAGATAGCTATTTCTAGCATCCTTTATACTACTTCACTCACTTCAGGTGGCTCTCCCCATATACACAACCAGGAACTTTGCAGTATGAAGGACTGATGTACTCCAGGAGTGTATCTATATACTATTGGCCACCTATGGCCCCCATCTGCAGATAGCTCAATCCATGGATCAGTGCCACATGGAGGCCAAACAGACATCTGTGCAAACTCAGGGGACCCCTTAGGTATGCAAAAAAAATATATCTGACTTAAAAACAAACCAACAGTGTGTGGGGGGTTAAATTCTCACCGCAAGGTAGGCCAGGAACCGCACTGGGCCTGACGTGAGTGGTGTGGCAGGCTGGGAGCCACACTGATCCTGGAAAATGGCAGCAGCAGCAGCAGCAGCAGCCCTGGAGCCGCACTGGGCCTGGCAGCAGCATGGCAACCCAGGAGTCATGCTGGGCCACACCAGGTTCAGCATTCCCCCCCCAGCCCATGGTGGTGGAGAACACCAAGAGCCACGCCAGGCCAAGCAGCATCTGAGGAGGACGCTGGGCTCAGGAGCCCCACTAGGTTTGGCACGTGGGGGTGGGTGGGATATGGGATCCCCCCCCTGCAAGTTTCCTCCCCGCTGGGAATCTCCCTCCAAGGGGATTCAGCAGTGATTGGGGGGAGGGATCCCCCCTGCAAGTATCGTGGGTCCCCACTTGTAATTTATACCATTATTTTGCCCTTTACAAACACATAACATTCCATGAGTTAGTTACGGACATGAAAAATTACATTATAGTGCCTTTACACTTCTCTAGCCAAGACTCGCTCTTGATGTATTATTTATTGATTAAAGCACTTATATACTTAAGGATATTGTAGTACTTGGCTGTACCAGTGGATTGGATGTGATCTCAGACTTAAAAAACAAATCTCACATTTAAACACTGGTACACAAGAGTGTATGTAAAATAGCCACACAAACATTGCAGCTATTTTTAAACCAGCATGTCACAGTAAGGCAAAAAAAAAAATCAATATATAAACTCACTTTGAAAAGAACACAAGAATGATTTTTTTTTTCTTTTAGCTCTTTTACCTTCTTGGCTTCACAACAATCCTCCCCCCCAAGTTACTTTTACTTCCCCCCCCTTCCAATATTAAAACACTGAACTAAACCAAAAGGAGAAGTTTAAAAGGTTAATCTTTATCAGAATAATTTTTAAAATAAGATTTTTAAACTACATGATATACTAAATACCTGTTGCCTCCTCAATATTTGCCAGTTTCCACATAGTGAGTTTTTCCGTGTGGTCAGGTTGACAAGGATAACCAGGAGCTGGACGGATTCCCTCATATCTGATTCTACGTAATTCTGAAAATTCCAGCTGTTCGTTTTCACAGTAAGCCCAGAATTCTTTACGGACCCTTTCGTGGAGTTCCTCTGCAAATGCCTGAGTACAAACCAGAAGCAAGCAGTAGTTCTGAGTCTTCCCATGACATGATTATGTTTACTCATTACTTCAGTGCATCATGGGTAAGAGCCTTGATGAACCCAAGGTTCTTTTTCATTTCTAGTTTTTTTCTTTTTACGGCAAGACAAATACACACAAAAAAAAGCAGGACTATTATTCCTGCTCTTTTCAAAACCACCCCAGACTGACAAAATGTTGATATATACACACACACACTATACACACAGAGAGAGAGAGCAACTAAGCAGTAGAAATGCACAACTCCTATCACAATAGCCTCTTGGTATTTGTACATTTGGCATATCTAATGGTTATATTTGTAATCCAATTTTTCAGCCAAAATTTGATAATAACAGTCATGGTTACCTCTGCCAAGCGGTCTGCCAATGCTTTCACCATTATGATATTGTAGTCATCACATTGTTTCTCATACTCCTTGCACAACTCATCTACTCCAAAGCAGGCCACAGCAAACAGACCCAGATAATCATTAACTCCAGATTCCAGAGGGGCTATAAAGTCCGACAGGCAATAATAGGGATCTGTACTGGTAGGGTCTTTCTCAGCCTGCAACAGCAAATGGAGCATTGCATTAAATAAAAAGAACTTGCAGTTACAAGAAGCTGATCTTGGCAGGTCTAGGTACAATCATATGGCACTTGCTTTTCCTCCATTTTATCTGATTACACTTTCAAAATTCAAAGGTTTACAGAGGAGGTATTCTTCAAATGTAGGAGATTACTTATTCCATTCAAGACCAGTACAGTATACTCTTCAATATTAATCAAAGTTAATAAATAAGATTTGCATAGTCATTCGCAAACCGCTTAATAGATTTGATTTGCTTTCCCTTAAGGAGCACATAAAAACTTCAGTGAGAAAAACTTCAGACTCTCAAAGACCACAGGATCGTTCCAAGGATAAATGTATTTTCTTTAAAGAACAGGAATATATGAAAACCAGCTAGTAGGGTTGCTCCATCTCTGCACTACAGGAATTTAAATTGGTTGCCTTAGTGAAACTGACTTAAGTAATTCCTTACTCACTTGTGAAGATGTACAATGTTACATATTTTAAAAGGATGATTTCTGGCTGATAGAACAGATTAAGCACTAAAGAGAAAATAAGGTACCACATCTGAAGGATACAGCACAATGGCTGTCAGTGGTGAGGAAACCAAAAGGGGGGAAGGGGGGGAATTAAGAGGTAATTTTCTATTACACATTGTCTGAGGGAGTACACACCACTGTAAGCAAGTTCTCAAACTATCCCAAGGTCCTCAGTAGTCATCATAAAACATATATTTAAGAAAAACTGATTTACACTTTACCTGCTGCCTTAAGCCATAGAATTTAGCTATTGGTTCTGGAGACGGCATTTCCTCATTGGCATATAAATAAATGTCGTCTTGAAGGCTCTGGGCTGGCCAAAATCCAACCAGGCCCTTGGCTTTAAGTTTCTTTTGTGCAATCAAAGTTGTCAGCAAACCCTGAGCATCATTATAGACTTTTTTCGCCTCTTCCCCTGGTAAATGAGCAGAAACAAAAAAAAAATTATTCAAAACAACTTTCCAAAACACCTTTTTTTTTTAAAAAAAAGATTAATTTTAAGCACCATTTTCCTCCTACACACTTACGTTCACTCTTCCTTTCCCCAATGACAGAAAGCAATGCTAAATGGGTTTACTCATAATCGCACTCATACCTATTCATTGGAGCTTACTCACAGGAAAGTTTTCTTAGGATTGCACTGACAGTCTGCTAATGATAAGGAGAAGCAATACCAGCTACAGGAAGCACTGAACTATTGTTGGGTTTATTAATAGACTGGTGCTTTGATGAATATTGTCTGTATAACTACACTGAAAAATACCAGGTTATAAGATTTTGGTCTGATGAAGATTCTAAATGTTGGCCGGATCTGGGAACGGCATCATGGCTGGCTGAATGACTATGTGAAATATCACTGTTTATAGCAAGTCTGGGTGGCTTAAAAGACTGTGTTTTCTGAAGCCAAGCCCTTTGGACGGCTGACTTTAATCCTAGGCTTGGTTCCAAAGTTTTTTCTCCCTTGTGGGACTTTCAGCGGCATGTGTGAACTGTTTCCAATGTTTACCAAAGTTTCAAGGTTCATTGGGGTATATTATAGTTGATATGAAATGGAAATATAGTTGCATTGTATTGTGTATGAATTGATGGTAAAAAGACACATTAGATATAAATTAGACAAAGGCTGAGGTCACACACACTAAACAATCCACCTTCAATCCACTTTCCAACTGGGATTTGCCAGTTCACACAGTAAAATCCAATTGGAAAGTGCACTGAAAGTGTATTGAAAGTGGATTGTTCAGTGTGTGTGACCGCAGCCAAAGTGCTTTATTTTTTGTGCTACACAGTTGTTTATATTTATCACTGGTTAAGCATCAAAACAAGGGTGTGACTTGGCTGAGGCTGTGATATGGCGCTGCAAATTTTTACAGTAAGGCAACAGAAGACCGAGAACAATGTGTGAGAGTATCTACATTCCCCAGAACTGACATTCACAAATGCCTCAGAAGAATGAATTTGCTATGTTCAGCCCAGGAGGAACAGGGTATGCATTCATATGACACAGAGATGATTAACTGTTATTAATTATTTTGCTTTGATCTGCTTGTGGATCATCCCATTTACAGATGATATTTCAATTGCTCCTCTGTTTTTTTCCAACTGCACTAATGATTTAACTGAGCTTTAACCCAGCTGATAAATATCTTTAATTAGCACTGCTCCCACATGTATCGTTGGTATCAATCTGTGTACATATAGCATAATTTGAAGGCACTTTAAGTGGCATTTAATATAACGTTCAGACTCTCTGCCAGAGAATGTTATTGTGTTACTCACCCACTGCTCTATCATTGAAGATTTTAGGAAATCCCCGGTTTGGGTATTTGCCTCTAAGTTGCCAGACATCAAAAAACGGCTTCCAATCAATGTATTCCACCAGCTTCTGCAAGTCATAATCTTCAAAAACTTTAGTGCCAATGAATTGTGGTTTAACTGTAAGAATACAATGTGTAGATTTTGCAATTCAGAACACACTGTGTAGGTTACCTCTATCTCTGCAACGCAACACACAAATGCATGGTTCAGGTACAACAAGAAGTTATGGTTTGTCTAACCAGTTTGGGATCCGAACCGAGGTTCCTTGCTTCTTCTCCAACCAAAATCCTCAGATGCTATCCCAAAGTGCTCAATCTTATCAATCCTGCTTCTGCATTTTGGTGTCATCCCATATAAGTACATCACAATAAATTATTGGAGGGATTTTAACACGACAGATAGAATAAGTGTGCTACAGCAGACTACTGATTGTGTATTCAAATGGACATTTGCCTTAAGTAAAAACTAGCAGTGGAGACCGAGACGAGACTATGACTAGGATGTAGAAGGGAGGAAGAAGTGCTTTGGTAACAGCTGCCAGCTTATTCTCATCCTCTGTGTACTTTAGACTCCCTTCTCTGTGGTCAGGCAGCTTTCAAGAGTGCAGGAATGTCTCAAACTGATGTCAAGCCACTCTCCGACACTCTGGTTTGGTATCTAGCCCCCTACATGGTTTTGATCTAATTCTGAACCTCCCCCACTCACCATGTACATGAATAAACATAGAGAATGGGGTCAGGTATGGATACAGGGTACTTTTCTGCAGAACTGGGGGAAACCTCCCCCCCCCAAGTTTGCAGAAAAATCCCTAAACAAAATTTAAAATATGGTGAAAAATTCCCAGATCTGTCAACACTACATCTCAATATCTCAGTCACCATTTTGAGGGAGGTGGGTAAGTAAGGAGCAGGAGCTGCCACTGCCATCAGCTGCCAGAGAACAGGTGCTGCAGGTAAGCAGGTGGGGGAGAGAGAGAACTGCTCCACTACTGCTGGACAACACCCACTGCCAGTAAGTGGGAAGCCAGGGCAGAGGAGCAGGAGCTGCTACTGAGGAACAGGTGCTGCTGGCGAGTGGGCAAATGTGTGGAAGGGGAGCTGGAGCCGCTGCTGCCACCCCACCACCAGACAACAGGTGCTGCAGGCAAGTGGGTAGGGGAGGGGAGAAGGATGTGATCCCCACCTCATGAGTTTCATGGCTCCCCCACTTGTAATGACTAGACACAGTTTGGCCAAAACATGGTTTGCAAACATTGGTTTGCTGTTACATTGAACTACACTACTTTTTCTTATGTTTTCAATGTCTCTCTGAGTCAAACTGCAAACATATCAAGGCATTGTTCTTTACATCCTGTCACAAACGAAGTTAACCTTCCAATGCTACATGCTTGTAGAAATTAGACGGACCTGGGCCCATGATCAATAACAGATATTTTGGTTTCTTCTGTAATGTGGAATGGTGATTATTTGACAATTTTATTATTACTTTTAAAAGAGTATGTTAAAGCTCAAATTAAAATGTACATAAAGTTACCAAACTGAAGTTTCTTCTGACAAGAACAAATCTGTGATCTGATGAAGCACAAAAGTCATTTAAAGAAAAAGAAAAGGCAACTAACCTAGTTTAGGCTGTGCTAGCCAATCATAACAAAAGCTCTTGCTTCTTGCTTGCTGCAGTGACAAATATCTCCTTTCCTGCATGGAAATAAGGCTGTAGTTGATATCTGCATCCCCTCTGAACAAGTTATCATCAGTTGATTTATCAAGGATTTTTCAAAAAGCATGAACAAGAAAATGTAGATAGTAATGACAAATGCTTTGTACACTCGACATTAAGAAGCTCTATCTACCTTGAGAGAGTCGTAGTGGTCCTGTCTAATATCTTCATATTCCTCTAGTATTTCTTCAAAGAAGTCATCTTTTAGATTCTCATCTAAAAGCTGAGAGCACTGAAACGAACACAGCATGCTTATTAAGCTTGAGGCTGATGCATGCAAACCAATTTCTCGCCATTTCTCTTTGCCAAGCACTTCAAATCCCTCTACAAGAACATGTGTAATAAGCCCCCCAGTTTAAAAAATGAAGTTATACTAGCAGGAAAAAAGTGATTGTTTTTTGAAAAATTCTTTTTCATCTTCCATAAGGGAAAGCGCTCCTACATGAAGGTGCTGAAAACATCAAACACAGACTTACTTGCCACTTCAAAAATAAACATGTGAATGAGTCCTGAAGGTAAGAACGAAACAGGATGGTGACTTGGGAAATTTTTGTTTAAGCTTTTCACGGTAAACTAAGTCCAGGTTGTTTCAAATTACAGATTTTGAAAGCTTGATTGTTAACTCATTAAAAATAAAAATATAGCCAAATGGATTTTTACTGCCATTTTGAAGCCTTGCAAGCTCCACAGTTTTCAACTGCTGGAGGTTTACTTCTACATTAAGAAGGAGGTCCACATTTCCCACCACATGATCGGTTTAAGCATACAGGAGCCACATTAAACCCCAACCACACAGTTTAGGATTTAAGCTTCTCATTTGGAACCCAAAATATTCCCTCAGAACACAGCCAAAGTGCAGGAACAGTCGGAAGATGGAAGACTTGAAGTGTGAGTCTAGCAAAGCATACTGAATATTTTTACAATCACAGGCAAGCCACTTCTGAGATTTCTATTATTCATTAAGCAAGCTGTTCTAGGCAGATTTAATTAAACCCATGACTGCCTTAGGCATTCAAAAGCATCATCCATAAACAGAAATGCATGGTGGTGATATACAAGAAGCCTTTACAAAAATCACACAATTTCCATAATATTTTACATTTTCTTAGATAAATTTAAAACATTTTGCTATACATTAGACACCAGTAAAACCATATGAGTGGTGTTTTATACTACTGGTAAAGGGGATAAACAGTTTAATATAGCTCAAGGGCACCTGGGGGGAAAAACACTATTTGTTACGTTTCACTTATGGAGTTGTAGGGAACCAGTTATCTGGGCAAATATGACTCCATAAAATAAGAATAGGTAGGAATAGTCTTCTGCTTCATTCATGTGCCTTTTAGTCCTAAATGCTTCAGTAAGAATTAAAGTTCTATGGCAAATTTGCCACGGGAGAGCCATGATTGGATGGTGGATTTTCTGGGCGTGATCACACCACAACATCTGGCAAGTGGAGCGCACCTGTGGCCAACCCGTGGCATGCCGCCGAAAATGTGCGATTAAAAAATACCTCCTCGAAGGTAGTAGCAAACGGTTTGCCACGGGCTGCCTCTGGACTCCCTTGGCGTGATCACGCCGGCGCGGCTTTTCCCTCTGGCTGTCTTCATTGCAGCACCCACGCTGAGGGCCAGAACCGTGGGTTGCCGCCAACGCATCTGATCGCATTGTCGCGTGGTGAATTGCGCCGCCGCAAATAGCCACGCCTCCCCCCCACACGTTTTCCGGCATGTGTGTCCGGGGTCTACATTACTTTAAAGATAGTTGTTGCACAAAAATACTGCCATTTATTTAATGTATTTAATTAATGTATATGCCACTTCATCTCTGTCTCAAAAACAGCTACTAGAACAATGCCATAAAATATAAACAGCAAACCAAAATCATAGCACAACAAATCAGGGGTGGGCGGGGGGGGGGAGAACAGTTGTCATGTCCATTAACTCTTTCAAAGGCATCTCTGAATATGTGAGGCCTAGCACCTATATCACCTCCTGCAGGAGGAAGACCCACAATTTGGGAGCGGCAGTTGAAAAGTCTCTCAGCAAGTTTCATCCAACCTATTTTTGAATACAGTCATTTTTTATTTCATTCATTCTTAGGAGCACCATAGGGGAAGCCAATTCTTTATAGAAAGGCATACCAAGAGATTTTATAGTACTTTGCAATTATTTCAACCTTGCCATCTAGCAAATGCAGTTGTCTGCTGAAGAACAAGCAACTCTGAGGCTGGTCTACAGCTGGCCGCACCACACTTGCCCTTAAGCCTCAGACTCAAATATTATGGGCCCCGTGTGGAGACTGCAAAGGAGTAGCTGTATTAGCTTGGTGTAGCAAAATAAAAGAAGAGTCATGTGAGCATGTTGTAGCAAAATAAAACAAGAGTCCAGAGGCACCACAGGGACAGGATTTATTTCAATGTGAGCTTTTGAGTCACCACTCAGTTCTTCAGGTATGTATGGAACTCAAACTGAGAACCCTTAGTTATGGGGCAGGTTATGGGGCGGGGAGGAGTTACGGGCAGAGGGTTAATTTTTCATGAGATTTTCAAGAGCAGAATCAATATGCCAGAAAAAGGAAGTAGTGAGAGAATCAGTGAATGCTAATCAGACATAAAAAACCAATATGACCACTCTGAATGTCTGAATTAGCAATCAGAAATAATGGGTTATGAGAAAGATCACAGACTGAAACAGATATGCAAGGTGAAAAGCAAAACTAGGTTATGTTCTGGTAAAATATGCTAATCAAAATTTCTATGAAGTGTTTAAGGAAGCTTAAGTCTCAGGATGACATGTAGTATTTAGTTTCTTGAGTTTTAATTCAACACTTTCCTATCGCATATTCCCTTTGAAAGGTTTTTGTTTGTTTGTTTTTTGTAGAACACTGACCATCAGGTCTATAGTAGTATGTCCAGGAAGATTAAAATGTTTGCCCACTGGTTTCTAGATGTTGTGGTTTCTTACATCTGACTGTGTTCACTGATTCTGTCACACAGAGGGTGCGTTCAGACGGGGCATTTGCAACGGTATAGGTGCCGGTTAAAATCGGTGTACTTACCGGCGTTCACACGGTGAACATCTGCCTCCCGTCCCTAACTGTTGCAAAGAGCTTTACACCGTTGTATTCTGCCACTAGGTCCCCAAGTGGTGGTATCCTGAGTGCAATGGTTGTAATCGCTTTACCCCCGTCTGATCGCTCTCCAAAGTTGTAGAGCCACTTCCGTTCGGAAGCCCGAGGCTTCCGATTTTCGCCCACCATTTTTTTTTGTTAGGTCGGCAATATGCGCTTGGGTGAAGCTTCGCCCTGGCGTTTGTTTAAAAAAAAAAAGAAAAGAAACGGTCCTTAGTTTAAGGTTTTGGAGGACTCCGAGACCTCAGGGAGGCCAGTTTGGTCTTTAAACTTTAAAGATAAGTCCTTACCTTTAAACTTTAAATGTAAGACAGGGTGTTTTGCGCATGCGTGAAGATCGCCATTCTGTAGATAGCTGCCTATGCGCATGCTCAAAGTGAGTGTTTAAAAAAAAAAACGCCGACGCCCGCTGCATGTGAATGGGCATACAGCAATGGGCTCCGCAGACAGGAGGTAAGTGTGATCGTGTTTCAGCCGGCATAAACTGCACAGGTTCCAACCGGTACAGTTTATGCCGGCTGAAACGCCCCGTCTGAACGCACCCGGAGATTGACACATACGTCGAATACAGACAGTATAAGGGCATAGTTGGCATATGACAGCATATATTAAATTGGGTGATGAGCAAACTGAAAGGCCCAGGATAGTGCAGCTGGTGTTGTTAGGTCCTGTAACAGTATTAGCTGAGTGTATAAGAGGACAATGTTGCCATCTAGATTTGTTGAAGGGTTTGGTTCCTCAGCTTGTGCCACTGTAGGGTGTTTGAGGGTTGTTAATGAGAAGCCGTTATAAGATGGGGAGCTGCCTGTAAGCAAGAAAAGGCTTGTAAGTTGTCCCATAAAGGAAGATTCTCAGTTTGATTTCCATACACATCCAAAGTAGTAAGCAATGCTTCACAAAAGCTCATATTGAAATAAATGTTAGTCTCTCAGCTGCCATATGGAGGTTTCCAGAAATCACTTCCATTTGGCAACATTTCACAAGCTAATCATGTGAAGTGTCTCCAAGCCCAGCACTCAGTGGGGGAGAGGTTCCACCTGACTGTGGAAATTTGCTTCATGAGGCACTGATGTTTAATTGCTGTCTTTTAGGACTGATTTAAAAATAACATGATACTGTATAGGAAAAAAGGAGTACAGCCTCAGAGTAGACCATAAGACACACGCAAGCTTCAATGGCAGCTGAATACACGGTGAGTGAATAGAAGACACATGGAGTTTATTGCACAGTCCAGTGTTCTCTTTTGTAAGAGTCACCTCGCTAGAACGGCTAAGTCCCAAGGGAAACACAGAAATCTAGCCTTAATACAGAAAAGACTGCTGTAGAAGCACAGAGATTTCACAGAGCATGCAGTACATGGCAGCCAGCTGTCAAACGCTGTGATACTGTTGCATGCAAACATCGCTTTTTACAGAACACTGTACAAAGTGGTGCTTTGTGTTCAATGTAAACATGGTTAGTGGTTAATGAACTCAATGAAACAAAACAATAATTCTCAACCCCTTGACAAAGCAAAGTTTAAGATGGCATAACTGCATCTGTGCATATTCTTTACATTACCTTTGCCTCTGCCTTTCCTCCCCTCCCCACATTATTGGTGCCATGTAATCCAGCTGACATGTAGTTTTAAGCTCCTCCAGGCAGAAACCTATTTTTTTTTCTTTGCTACTGCTTCTCTGTGAAGCACTACACACACTGGTAGCAACGTCACCAGTAATAGTAAAAACCACCACCACGTCTTCCTCAGTATTTCTGGCAGTGAAATGGGCACTCAAGCACCCATGGTATACATAGTCACACAAACAACTGTTCACCCAGTGGAATCCTGCTTCCTCCTGAAACATGTATGACCAATGGCCAGTAACAGGGTTCAATTTTATGAGCAACCAAAGTACCAAATACGATGGCTCAAGATTTTCAAACTGTTATGTTGTCAGTAACCTAACAAGGATGCAAAGGCAGAATTCTCTATCCTGTGTTGCTAAACTTCACAAAACATGCAAATCTGGTCACTTATAGAGCAAGATATTACAGTAAATGAGCCTTCAGTGTGACCAACTTGAATTCTTTTCTTTGATGCAACAAGAAATATATTCCACTACTTACAACTACCACACTCTTAGAAGCATCCAGGACGTGAATGACAGGAGCGCTGTATCGTGGAGCAATTTTTACTGCTGTGTGTGTTCTGAAATGATAAAAAATATGGAACAAATTGCCTCAGCATCTAGCTAATGTACAAACATTTCTATGACCCAATGGGAAAACCCATAAAATAAACTGCAGAGAAGTCATCTTCCTTTCCATGGAAATTACAATCTATCTGCACGTTATCTGAATGTGTGAAGGGCAGAAGAGTACATTCAGCACTACTGATGTCGCTGCAGCTGCCCTGTGAGTTACAGAAAGATGTAAGACCTCACCAGTTCCTAACACAGAATAACTGCCATAATTATGTGTCAGAAGGAGAGATCTTCTCACAACTTCTCGTCCCATTTGATGACAGCTCTATCTGGCCTGAACAAAGAATCAAGAGTTTCACCAGTGAACATGAAAACTAAATGCATCAAACTTCTTGAAACAATTCTCTGGAGGGAAAAATGTTGGCTGCAGAAGAAAGCAATTTTATACCATTAAATTTTCCTATTGGTGTAGGATGGGGGAAAGTGTGTCATTTGTCTTGTTCATAGATAACTTCCCTGTTCAGAAGTTGCATAATAGATGGAAATTCCTATGCCCTACCATTCCTGTTGCACACCATGTTGAATTATGTGTGACTAGGAATAAGGCCTGTTGTGGAAATAAATACAATGAGCTCTAGAAAGAGGCTCTGGGTGGGTGCCCTAGCCTTGGGCACTCAGTGTCAATTTGCTGTGGCGACCTCAGCAGGGTATAATGACACAGAGTCCATTGTTTTCTCCAGGGAACTGATCTCTGCTGTCTGAAGAGCAGTTGTAATTCTGCGTGATCTCCAGCTCTCACTTGGACATTGGCAGCAATGGTTCCCCAGGAGGAAACGGCTGGTTTGAAAGGCGGAGTCTATGGCACTGAACCTGTCTGAGGTCCCACCCCTCCTCAAACCCCCCTCTCCAGGCTCCATCCCTCCATCTCCAGGAATTTTCCAACCTGGAGGTGGCAATCCCATCTCCTTCCCAGCCAACCATCAACGTACCATTATCTGCCATTCTGACTTCAGCTTTCCATCTCCTCCCCCCTCCCTGCACCCGGTACGCAGGAAAAGTAGTCTTTCTCCACCATGGGGACCAAAGCAGCTCACATCATCCCCCACTCCCCCTTTCGATCTGCACAACCCTGTGAGGTAAGTTAGGCTGAAAGTCTGTGAGTGGTCTGAAATCACCTAGTCAGCTTCCACAGGAATAACCTGGGTCTGGAAGACCCTGCTCTGAAGCGCTAACTGCTACATCACACTGGCAGTCATAGGGGGGCCAACTCAGCAGGGTGTAATGACACAGAGCCCACCATTTTCTCCAGGGGAACTGATCTCTGCCATCTGGAGTGTCGTCGTAGTTCTGAGTGATCTCCAGCCCTCACCTGGAGATTAAAAGCAATGGTTCCCCAGGAGGAAATGGCTGGCTTGGAGGCTGGAGTCTATGGCACTGTACCTGTCTGAGGTCCCATCCCTCCCCAAACCCCAACCTCTCCAGGCTCTACCCCTCAAATCTCCAGGAATTTCCCAACCTGGGGTTGGCAATCCTATCTCCTTCCCAGCCAATCATCAACCTACCTTTATCTGTCCTTCTGACTACAGCTTTCCATATCCCCTTCACCAGCAGCCTCTACCTAGGAAAAGTACAGTCTTTCCCTGCAGTGGAGACCCAAGCAGGAGGGAAGTGACCTCAGCAGGGTATAATGACACAGAAGCAGCCATTTTCTCCAGGGGAACTGATCTCTGCCATCTGGAGAGCAGCTGTAATTCTGAGTGGTCTCCAGCCCTCACTTGGAGATTAAAAGCAATGGTTCCCCAGGAGGCTGGTTTGGAGAGTGGAGTCTATGGCATTGTACCTGTCTGAGGTCCCACCCCTCCCCAAACTCTGGCTTCTGTAGACTCCACAAAATCTCCAGGAACTTCCCAAACTGGACCTGGCAACCCTAGTCAGGACTGGCCCCAATGAGTTCCCCACCAAGGCCAAAGTAGGCCTGGAATGGGCCTCCTGCCTTTGCCTTTTTACTGACAGAACCAAGCTTTAACTTTGAGAGGACAAGAAGAAGGAAGATGTTATAATACATGGTCAAGATTTTATAAATGGTTGGAAGATTATTACAAATGAACAATATAGATACACAATTATTTTAGGAGAAAACATAGGTTTCATTTGCTTATTAATATGCAAAATACGCAAAACTATTTGGTGATAATAATTGTAGTAAACATTGCAGGTGACAGCTAGATAATATAGATATGTATATGTAATCCCTATTTTATGTGTATGTGTTATGTTTGTTTTGTTTGTTTATGTTTGTTGATATGGAAAAAGAAAAAAAGAAAAAGAAAAAAGAACCAAGCTTGGTTGCCTAGCAACAGCCACTGAAAAGAAAAGTTAGCCCTACAGGAACCAAGCAGAAGCGTCTTCGTCAGGAGAGACAGCCGTTTTGGAAGTTTATTCTGTCAGGGAAGTGACGAGGCTGGCAGTGGGCAAGGGAGAGGAGCAGACCCAGCACCCAGCCAATGGCACGTGAGTACTCGAGTGGCAGTTGATGGGCCAATGGCTGATGGAGCGTACAGCACAGCCAATGGGAGAGCCCAAAAGTGCCAACACGTTGGGCTTTTATATATATATATATAGGATGAGTTATACCCATTACAATGGGAGGGGAAAGCCTTAAAACTGGTGGCAAGAAGAAGCCTGGGGTGGGCATAGTGAAGATAGAGAAGACCAGGAGAAGGGAGTGAGAAGACTCCTTATTAAGGGCCCTAAAGGTGAGTCAATGCACCTGAATAAAGGCTGAAAACCACAGTCAGTGTCCAGGAGATTTTGTGCTGGAGGGATGAATCAATGCCCCACTCCAAGGTGACTGCACACACCCTCGCTCCAAGGCCCTTCAGTACTGGTGGCCTCATTCAGAAATATGTTCCCATTGAAATTTAGGCCTGAGCTTCAACACCAGAGTTTTGTAATTTTCTACTCACTGTAATTTTAAATTAAAAATAAAATTATTCTTTTATATTCCTACAATGTTACATTAAAAATCATATTGCATATCTAAGACTCTGGTATGTCCAGGGGTCAATCACTTCACTCACTTAGAAGTGGTGGCTCCTCCAATCAGCAACGGGATCTTTATTTCTAGTCTCTCCATTTCCTTAGCAACAAATATCATTTCATCCAAAGAGGGTGTGATGAGACCAGACAAACCAATAAAATCTATTAAAGAAAAATGATTTAAAAATCTGTTTTAAAATACCATTTCAATAGCTATTTCAGATATTAGCTAAAAGCAGTCAGCTGAGCAATGAGCAAAAGGCTTTCCCCCCCTAGATTTTCCGCTGATACTAGATAGACTTGCACATTCTTCTGTCTCACTCCTCACTCCATTCATCTATTAAATGGGTGCCAATTGGAATACTTAATTATACAGAGTGCTAAAGAATGTTAAAACAATTCAATATCGCTGCACCAGATTGTAATATGAATGAGAAAGAACAGACATACACAAACTGAGATCCCATTAGGCAGATAGTTTATGAAATGTCTGTTTTTAAAAATTTTTGCATCCCTTTCCCCCAACAAGTCCTTGGGCATTGCAATCATTCTGTGTAAGAAGCCTCAGCTGAAAATCAGAAAAAGAAAAGACATTGCACTAATTTATCTGCTTAGATTTTTGCATTTTCGTCAGATGAGTGAAAATGGGCTGTTTACAAGAAGAGAACTCAGGATCATAATTCCATTATGTTTAAGAAAAGAAAATGAAGAATGAACATCCTCCTACCTGCTTTATTTTCCAAAGCCGCTCTGAGTATCTTGTCACATGGAGTCATGACTCCTAAATCAATAACTCTGAAGGGGGGGGGCAATAGTAACATGTTACATTTAATAAAAGGCTTCATACCTACCTCTGCCATTTCAAAGACACATCCAGGCAAAAAAATTATTTAAATGAAAAATCATTCTCATTCTTTCTTTTATCACTACAGGGGTTCAGTGGTACATGTTTTGTCTTTGTGGATTCTACATTTTATTTAAGCAACTATGCTTCCTTTAATTTTGGACACATTTCTCCATTGCTTGCTTACATTGAGGGCTGCAATGTACTCATACACAATGGAAACAGACATAGAAAGTGATGATAGTGCTTTAAGATGTTTCAAGTTAGACTCAAATCTGTTGCAGCTTTTTAGCAACATCCTAACTCAGGGGCCAAATATATTTCTGCCCGCTAGACCAATTATGTGTATCTAAATAAAGCATGATATCAAAACCAACCAACCAAAAAAGCTACTAGAATGGATTCAGATATGCAGTAGCCAATGTTAAAATGGCCAAATTAATCAAAATACAATTTTACAAAACTGTATAGCATCCCTTAATACATATTTATCAGCTCACCTGCAATTTTCTGACAGCGGAAACCAAAATCTAGTAAACATTTGTCCTAGATTCTTCACAGCTTGATTTTTAAAAGTCTCTGACTAAATAAGTTTTACTTTTCAGTACTGCCAAACAACAAAGGTTTATCCTGAACTTTGCTGTAGATGAAAGCAACATCACTGGCTGCAAACAATTCATTATTTGTCTTTATGGGAACAAACTTTAGAAATCCATCAGCTCATGTCCTTCTTCCCCCACATAACCTTGTGCATGGCTTAGTAATTAATTACTTCTCCATTTCCAGGAGATACAGTTTGGTATTTTCTCTGGATCACAAATAATTATTTGTTCTCCTGCCTCCAACCAGGAGTCCAAACCACAGTTTAAGCCTATTTTAAAGGCAAGAGGAGCAAACCACAGTTTGCAGTTCAAATGAAACAACAAACTACTTTCATCATAAATGCAGAAATGATTGGTTTCCAAGTGATATGTGGTAGGATAAGGCTACTGTGCTTGAGCCCAAGGATGTCCAGAGCTATCTCCTGCAACAAATCAACCACAGCTGTTACACATGAAGCAACAACTGTGTTTCAAATTCCATTTTCAACCAAAAATAAGTTTATGTACATGTACTACAAACAATAATCCCAGCCAGGGGTCATTTCGTAGAAAAAGAGCTAGGGGAACTCATTAGCATAACTCATTAGCATATGCCACACACCCTGACATCAGGGGCCCAGCGGTGGACCTGCAAGGCCAGCAGGAGTGCGAGGAAGCCCCGCCAAGGCCCCAGGCAGGCAGGGGTGGGGAGAGGCGGGGAGGAAGCACTTTACCCTCCCTCTTCTCCTGCCTCCTCCTGGCTGAATGAGGACTGGAAGCGGGGCGGCCGGAAGCAGGGGGCGGGGCTTCGTCATGTGCCCCACCCCCCTGCACCTCACCTGGGGGAACTGCGTTCCCCCGCGTTCCCCCCCGAAATGACCTCTGATCCCAGCCCAAAAGTTCCAGTAAAAATACTAAAGGTTAGGGGCTGGATCCAGTGCTAGTACTGTGCATGGCTCACATAAGGATCCCTGATTTTGCTAGTTTTCCTCTCCCACCAGCTGCCAGGGTCGGGAAGCTGAATAGGGGAGGGGAATAGGGGGGAGAACATTCTCTTCTTCCTCTTCCTTCAGTGGAGTTCTGCACGTGAAAGAGGCAGGAGGAAGCAATTTTGCCCTTTTCTCTCATCCCACTAAAGCCACCTGACCCACATGGCTATTACTCTACACTGGTCCTGTGACCTCAGAAATAAACATTCCTAGGGTTACAAATGGCTGCTGGAGGAAGGGGGAAAAGTGAGAAGACTGGTGACCATCAGTACTTTCCACTGTCAGATTATGGGATACAATCTACTGTTCACAAACTTGCAAAACACTGTGTTAAGTCAAATGTATAAAGTATTGTCTTACAGACATAGTCTTCTGTTTCATTCAGTGCTGCTCCTTTTTATTCAGCACTTCAAATTGTATTTTAATATGAAAGAATTATAATATGCAACATTAATTATTCTAATATGCAATAATACAAAAAGCAAGGGTTCTTGTTCTAGATCATTACCTGAAATTATTGCAGCCCAGAACAACTCCCACGATATTCTTGCCAATGTCATGCACATCACCTTTCACTGTTGCCAACACAATCGTGCCATTATAAGGGTTCTGTGAGAGTTGAACAACACTTTCAGGATTTAAAATTTCACATCTGAGCAATTTATGTTGTATTAACTGTTAGTGTACAACTACAACAGCTGTTATTTTCAGCAGAAATAAATCTTGAATTATACAGCATAGTTCTTTGAATGTGCATATCTATTACAACCCAATTCAGCAGAGGGCAGAAATTGTCCCCATGACCAAGAACTCTGTGCCAAGAACAACCCCATCATGAAGAAGCCCCAATTCGGTATAGTGTTGTACAAGATTAAGCCCCTCACGCAAGTCCAGGGATGAGAGGTAACCCTGTACTTTTCCAGTACATTAAACAACAACCCAAGAGGTAGGCTATACCCTCTCTGGATTTTAGAACAGTTTGCCACCAGAACCTCATCAACTGGGGTCCCCCGCTCAGCCTAAGAGCAGAGGTTCAAACTCTTAGTTGGCCTCTGGGACTTAACAATTACTATCACAGTGCTAGCTCTGTGTGGTCAGCGTTTAGGCTGCAAGATTTAGACTTGGAACTCTGGTACAACATCAGAGACCATTTAGAAACAAGAATAATGTTTTATTCAGTACAGAGCTTAGCACAGACTACCAGAGTTTACCAAAATAACAAGTCTAAGGCGATTTGCCTTAATGGTACACAGTAAGATACATATTTACCAAGTTCAGGAACATCCAAACAGTTCAAGATTGTCCACTGTGATAATCCAGTTAACACCAAGGGATTTTGAGTAGGAATCCCATCTTGTGCAAGCATGCATCCAGTTCACAAAGCCACCCTTTATCCCTCAAGGGCTGCATTTCAGGTGCAATAAAACAAGCAGAGAGAGCAGGAGCAGAGAGCAAGAGCAAAAAGACTCTCTCTCATTGGGATCAAACAATTATAGCCCAATTCCATTCATGATCAGCTGTGGCCATGCAGCCAATCACGAGTGGACAGGGGATGTGCCCAATTGTTGGTTGTCATGGCTACGTGTGGGGATAGGCTAGAAGTTTGGGAACTCCTCCTGCAGTCAGGTGACCCAGCTTCCAGCTTCTCCATCGCCTACGTGACTTTTGCATGTGAGGCAGAGCCAGGAGCCATCAGGTCTGCCTCTTCCCTTAGAGGTGTGAAAGAATGTGTGGTTATATGGCATGGTTATAAAGTTTCTCTGGCCAAATGGTTGGCCATTTGGCCTGCGAGAGGAAATAAGACACAGCATGTTATCAGAATGTAATCACAGGAGAAGGCATGGATTATAGAAAGCAGAAAGCAAAATTTCTATACAAGTGTTTTATGCCACAAGAAAGTGGAATATACAAGAAACAGAAACTGCTTTAAATGCAACCAGCAAGTAAAACACATTCCGTTCCATATATTCTGCCAAAGGAACGCTAGCTAATTCAACATTAGAGGTTGGTTCCAATGATTTTCTTCTACTAAGCCTGATTTGGGGGCGTGCATTTGGATTTACCCAATCCAAAAATATACCCCAAAAACCCTTATTGGTATTTTTGGGTATATTTTGGCATCCCAAAACCAAATAAATTTCCCCTAAACATCCTGGTTATATTCAGGAATTACTAGCAAACCTCAAAAAACAGTTGACTGGTTGGAGCAGATTGCTCCCGCTGCTCAGCTGTTTTCAGGCCTTCTTCTGCAGTTCTTTTAACATGGGGTATTTAAAGGGACTGCACAAGACAGCTTGCAAAACACCCAAACTGTGGAGGGGGTGGCCACTCTCCCCACCACCAGCAGCCCAGCTGGAGCTCTCTTGGGCAGTTCCGTTTAAACCAGACGGCCCAAAGAAGCCTGCAAAGCAGCAGAGCCTGTGGGGAGAACTCTCCCCATGACTCAGCTGGGGCTCTCTTTTGGGCAGTTCAAAATGCCTGAGCGCCCCAGCCAAGCCCATGAGAAGAATTCTCCCTGTAGGATCAGCTGCTTTGTGGGCTCTTTTGGGCAGTCTGGTTTAAACTGAACTGAACTGCCCAAGAGGGCTCAAGCTGAGCCGGGGGGGGTGGGGTGGGGTGGGGGTAACTGAACCAGAGAGCCCTAGCTGAGCCCGTGGGAAGAGTTCTCCCCATGGGATCGGCGGCTATGTGGGCTCTTTTGGGCAGTCCAGTTTAAACCATACTGCTCAAGAGAGCCCCAGCTGAGCTGCCTGTCAGTTGTTTTTGTAGCTTTGCCGCTGCTTTTTTTCCCCTCTGTATTTTTTGGTTCGGTTCTACTGGACCCAGAAAAATTCAGGACTTCCCCCAAATCCCAGACCCAAATACTTTACTGGTATTAAGATCCAGGTTTTGGGGGGAATCCTGAAATTTTTTCGTGTCCAATAGACCTGAACTGAAAAATACCGAGAAATAATTGCACACTGCTAGTTGGATTCAGTGACTGTTTCTGCAGTGACTTCCTTCATGAGATTCAATTTAGTAGTCTCATTGGATCAAACTCAATAGTTTACTTTTTCCTGAGGCAGAATTCTGACTTCTTAAAAAATGGCATAGGAAGATAGATACTAAACGTGTGGCATCAGTAGACAATCCATCAGTAGACAGTCCATAGAGCCAGTATGGTGTAGTGGTTAAGAGCAGTGGTTCTAATCTGGAGAACCAGGTCTGATTCCCCACTCCTCCAATGAAGCCTGCTGGGTGACCTTGGGCCAGTCACAGTTCTCTCAGAGCTCTCTCAGCCCCACCTATCTCATAAGGTGCCTGCTGTGAGGAGAGGAAGGTAAGGCGATTGTAAGCCGCTTTGAGACTACTTAAGATAGAGAAAAGTGGGGTACAAAAACCAACTCCTCTTCCTCCTCTTCTTCTATTCACAGAGTCATATCATTCAGTAGCATCTGATTCCTTCAGCTATACATGGGGGCCACTCCAAGTACTTAACTTACAGAAGAAAAGCAGGTGCTAACACGCTGGGGTCACTAAAGAGTTCCAGCTTACTCCACTGTCTAGCTCAACTTGTATGGTAGTCTGCTGCGGAAAAGGAACCTCTATGTGGCTTTTTAAAGTACTTCAGGCAAGTGCACACAGTAAAGGCTCAAACTGCCTGTGAAAGCAGCAGACCCATTTATTTAAACTCAGGTTTGCTCCAATTACATATGGAGTGGTAGACTGGGCCTCATTTTAAGAGAAAAGGGGTCATACAAATGAAGAAAACTTTCCTCAGCTTCTCTTGCCTCACATTTTTGTCCCCGCATTGGCTCATGTCTGGTATTGAAGTGTGACCGGAAGGCATCAGACTGTGAGGAAGTAAACTATGGGAAAGGCAGAGCATTCACACTTCACAACCTGTGCACCCCCACTGGCTCTTAAAATCAGTACTCTACCTCCAGCTTTCTATATGGCTGAGGCAAACCCAGGGTGAAGCAAATGGATGTACTGCTGTGATGTGAAGTTAGAGCCTAAGAAACCCCTTAGGTCTCTGATAAGCTTTTCTTTTTCAAAATACTCCCTAGTGCCCATTTACTATAATGATTAAACTCCTCTGTCTTCCTAAAATGTTGATGTTTAGAAAAAATGAACATTGAATACCATGCCAAGTGACTGCATTATCCAGCATCATGCAGTACCATATTCATAAACACGTAAAAGCTTATTGTTGTTGTTCAGTCGCACAGTCGAGTCCGACTCTTCGTGACCCCATGGACCAGATCACGCCAGGCCTTATAGGTTATAGGGATGGAGCAAAAAGGCAAATTCACTTAATCAAGGTGAAGGGAATGAATAAGTATAACAGGACAGTATAGCCATGACTCTAGACACAATTGGCGATGGAAATCCTAACACCAGCAAACAGAAAAAACTAAAGAAAAGGCACCTGACTCCAGACTGCTGCACTGTAGACTAGGGCACACATTTTAAGATGACTTCTACATCAAAACAAGAGGATCACAGGCCTTTAATGAATTGGAGAACTCAGTACTGGGAACAGAACCAAATAGCTTTTCGTTTTGATTCTGGCACAAGACTGCAGACACAGCCATTCATTCTAAAACATAATAACCAGTCTTCTATATTTGCTGTTGTTCTGGCACGGTGGTGACTGCTCTGGAGGTGACTGCACTCCAGAGAGAATCCATGCCAGGCAGATATGCATCTTATTTTAGGACTAGACAAACAACAGAATGTTCTCTCGTTATTAATAAGTATATTTAGGGACTAAAAGAATCATTATCTTTTTGCACATGTGTTAGCTAGCAATAGCAGCATCTAGAATTTCTGTTAAGAGCCTGCAGCATGCACCAAGTAGCAGCAAGCAGTAATACAGGATTGGCCTAATTCCACACTCACTGTCATTCCCTCCCTCCCTCTTCTTTGAATAAACATATTCCCGAGGTAGCTGTAGATTATTTCAAATGTTTTCAACAGCCTCCCCCACTCTTACTGTATTCTATTACCAAACTCCAAAAACAGCGTAAAACACTCAGTTTTACTTAATCCAATCCAGCCTTCACAACCATTTCAATGATAAGAACAACTGCTGTTATTTTATTTTCATACTTGGGGGGGGGGGGGGTTGAAACCTTCCGCTACAGCACAGATCCTCAGCTTCTTTCAAAGACAGAGCAGCTGAACATCAAGTTAGCATATGCTTTCTGAGGGGGGCACACAAGATACCTATAAAAGCAGGAGCCCCTCTGCTCTGCAAACAGCACTCAGTATATTGTTGCCACCTGTACAATCTTCCCCCTTGGGGAACAAACTTGGGAGGGAACAAGTCCTGCGTGGAGTACAGATTGGCTGGGTGTCTGCATTATCGTTAAGTACCCTCTCTTCCTCCACAGGGCAGTTTTTCAGCTTAAAAGAAGCAGCTTCGTTTTTAATACGAACAACATTAAATGACAAATGATTGCTGGAAGGTATAATTGTGCAAGCAGCTCTTTTTGTTTTTTAGTTAACTGCCCACCTTAAAGGCACCAAAGGGGCAAAACTGATGGGGAAATTAACATCTGCTGCAGAGGCAGCTATGTACATCATTTGAAGAATTAAAGTGGAAGACGACATCAGAGGCAACTCCCCCCCTTTTGCTAGTTTATGTTTTTACCCATCCATCCAAACATCCTTCAAGGTGTTTGGTGATAGTCTGTGGAATATCCAGTAGACAGTCCAACCAATTCTTCACCAAATTTACCATGATATATAGCTAACCATAACTTTGTGTCCACCATTTCTTGCAAAAATGTCACAATGCCTATTTTTTACATATTGCAACCAGCTGCTTATTGGTACATTTTTTGCAGGTACACAAGTGGATCTATTTGTATGCACAGAGTAGTTTTCTGTTCACAGAAGCTGCTGCAATGGCATTATATGAATTCCTGTTTGTCAGGATTTATAGTATGAAATAATGTCCAGGTTTCTTGACACAACTCTGGTGAAAATTCATTTAAGAAAAAGGAAACAGAGAAGAAGAGATTGGATTTATACCCAGCCCTTCACTCAGAGCGGTTTACAATCTCCTTTCCTTCCTCTCCCCACAACAGACACCCTGTGAGGTGGGTGGGGCTGAGAGAGCTCTTTGAGAACAGCTCTTGAAAGAACAGCTCTGAGAGAACCGTGGCTTGCCCAAGGTCACCCAGCAGATGCATGTAGAAAAGTGGGGAATCAAACTCGGTCCTAGATTAGAGTCTGTGCTCCTAACTACTGCACCAAACTGGCTCCCTAGCACTGCAGCACACAACTTACATCTTCTTCGGTGCTTCCTGACAATGCACGCATTTTCTCTCTTTCCTGCTCCATGTAGGGAATGAGATGACCAACCGCTTTCTTCATAACTCGAGCAGACTTAATCACCTGAACAGACAGATCAAAATAACTACTACAGCTTTTGAAATGCTTAATTAAAGGTAGTAAATGCAACCCAGCAACAGGCCCCAGAGCTAAGTCTACCAACAATCTCCAACTAAAATAACTTCCTTAACCTTCCCTATTAATATGACTCCATGCTGTTCAGGTCCATCCCTAGTTTCATCTCTCTGGGTTCTCTCAGTTATTATGGAGGACGATTTGCTTAAGAACAGGGCCAATGTTTTGATCAAGCTGCCCCCAGGACAGCTGCCTGCCTACGTAAGCTGAGCTGTGCAGAGCTCACATTTGCTACGTTATTGCAGAGCATACAAACTATTAGTGGTTTGGGGAAGAAACAAATAGCCGTTTGTACTTGCCCTAGAACTGAACATACAAAAGGAAGTAGTCAACCTATGAACACATTTCCAGAGTATGAAAGCATATCATAAAACGACAATGACACATGAATGCAGCAGGTGTTGGCATCTGCCAGTGTATTACAGGACCACTTATGCAATAGATTCAGCAGGTTACTAGCCCAGTCAGAATTTGGCAGCACATATATTAAGACTGGGATGATACGAAATCAGTAATTATTAAGCACAATGAAAGCAGCATCCTTTCCATTATAATATGTGATACCCTAAACTTTGAGGATAGGAACAGCACTGAAGATTCCTATTGTATTCAGATCCTGCCACTGAGTGAAGATACCATTGGTGTGGCCTAGTCTGCATGTATGTTATCTCTTTATTTGTCCCCTTTCAGCAATACATTTGTGGCAGGTCAATAGAAGCTTTTCACACCTCTCCTTTACCTGAGGCAGAAACATCTTGCCAGCCCCAAAAAGATCACCAACTATTTTCATGCCGTTCATCAAAGGTCCCTCAATTATGTTCAGAGGTCTGGGATACTTGTCTTTGTTCAATCTGGCCTCTTCTGTGTCCTCAATCACATATTTCTCAATGCCCTGGATAACAAAACTATAATGTTAATGTGCCACGGTGTCTGTATTGTAGATACATTATTACATTTATGCCCTGCTTTATTTCTGCAAACTCAAGGCAGCTAGCATAACAGAAAAAGCTGTAGAACACAAACATCATAAGTATCCAACAAGTTAAAAACAGTTGAAGTAGTTTATATTACATTAACAGAAGTTGAGATGCAAAAAAGGCACTAAGGGTAGAGTGAGCAGGTCAAAATAAAGGGAGGAGGGTTCCTCCCTTTCTTTTTCTTTTTCCTTCACCACTCCCTGGAGGAGCCTATTCTACATCCATGGCCCCAGTCACACAGGAGGTTTTGACCCGGAGGAGGGACGGATCGGGGGTGCAGCAAACGGGCGCGATCACACCGCAACATCTGGGAATCGGCGCGCACCCGTCCCCGATCCGTCCCTTCAGGCCTAAAATGTGCAGTAAAAAAACCCCTAGAAAACGGTAGCACCAACCTGAAATGCCACAGCAAGCATGCCCGTCGGACTGCCAGCGCGCCCGTCTTCAGGAGCATTCGAGGCTCCCGGCCGAACTGTGCATGCGCACACATGCGCAGCCGGCTGCCTCGCGCTCCCTCCCTTCAGTGGCTTCCCCCCGGCATCTGATCGTGCCGGGGAGAAACTGCGCGGCGGCTCAGGGGATCTGTCTGATCCCGCCGCCGCGTGTCTCTTTTGGTGCGCCTTTAAAAAGCCGCACTTTGGCCGCGTCAATTTCCCCCCGTGTGGCTGGGGCCCATAGTTACCACGTGGACCACAGACTCTACAGTTAACCACTGCCAAATTCCAACCACCCTGGAAATTCTCCAGGTGGTCTGGGCCATCCACCAGCAACTACCTATGAAAGCTGCCTTTACTGAGGTACAACCCAGAGCCAGCAAGTGACTTTGAGAAAGATAGCAGTAAAGCCAGGATGACTGCAATGTGGGTGGGAAAATTCAGATTTTCCCATCCACATGGAAGCCATTTACCCTGACACTGTCCCTGTCGCAGCTGTTTCCTCCTGGCCACACTGGGGCTTATTCTTTTTTTAAAAATTGGCACTAGACCACCATTATATCAATATACCATTGTAACGGTATACATAATAAATTGTTTGAATTGCCTAGCTTTCTTTCTTTTTTTTAAAGTAAGCCTCTATCCCCTTCCCTTGCAGCGATACAAGGGGAAAGACAGTCCTTCGGCAGTAGCTACTCACCATCTCCTGGGCCAGGGAAACGTGCCACATGGAGGCCCTGTTGTCACAACACTTTATCTGCAGCCATTCCAGCAACAGGGAAACCACACAAGCCTGTCTCTGTGGAAACCACCTTTATCAGTGTTAATCAGTTTGACAGGAATCTAGGAACTTGTGAGAGTTACCGCAAGTCTGCCTTGGTTGAACTGGTAGTCCACATTTTATCATCTATGGCTCAGAAGGTTGCTGAGACTTGGACAGCTGATTTGTGTAATATTGTGGGATATATCAGTCTGTGATCTTTAATATTTACTTGTCTTTGAGATGAGACTTTACAAATGAGTTTCCACCTGTATCACCTGAAGGCTGTGTCTGTGTGTACCCTAAGAAGAAATCCAGGGAGACTGCAAACTGGACATCTTGAAAACTCTAACCTGTGAAAATATACTGCTATCCAACAGTGTTCTCTTCAAACAATTCTTCATCCAAGGAATATAGGTGATTTTAAAAACAAGTCATTTTCAAAGTTTGCTGTATTTTCAGTAAATTTCAAGTGTTTGCCAATAATGTGGGTAACAAAGCATACAGAATTAAAGTTAATAGGTATCATATTTTGATCCCAACTAGCTTTGATATAGAAATATGCACAGAAATTCACCTTGACAAGTGCATACTCTAGCATTTCCTCTACAGAGCCATTTCGCCATTCATCGGTCTGCACCACTTTCTTTCCTCCTTGAGCATGGGTCTGGAATTGCGGTAGAGAAAGATTTTTTTATTGTTGTTGCTGTTACCGAAACTATATATATATATTTTTAAAAACCCACTTATATGCACATGCCTCACTTCCTTGTATTTTAAATTTGCTCATGCTGGCTGGCCATTTTCAAGATTTGCAAACTATTTGAGTGCTATTAAAAGCCAATTCAAATATTCAAGAATATCAAGAGAGAGTTTTGTGGCCTAAGCAGGACAAGATACAGACCTGAAAACTGTTCTGTGCTACATGTTCAGAGACTTACCTGTTGTGCTGTTTAGTAAGTACTGAAATTAGTGGACTAAATTTTGGTCATCCACATTGCGGTTTTAATTAATTGTTTTAGGAATGATTGTATGGCTTTATGCAATTATATGTTGTAAGCCACTCTGAGCCCGTTTGTGGGGTAGGGCAGGATATAAGTCTCAATTTTTTAAAAAAAGGATAAAGGGTCAGAACATTGCTTGGTATTCTAATAGGTAAGGCTAGAGATGGATTTATTTTTTTAATATCCCTCTTTCCTCTCCAATCCAAAGCAGTTTACAGTATCATTTTATCCTCACAACAACTCTGTGATCAATGTTCCCTCTAAGCTGTGGGTTCTTGTGAGCAAAAATTTTACTTTGTGAGCCGCTGGCATTACAGTTTGCTTTGGAGCCATCCTTCCTGAGCTAAGACAAAAATGTGAGCCGGAGGCTAAAAAACTGTGAGCTAGCTCACACTAACTCATCTTAGAGGGAACACTGTCTGTGATGTGGGTAAGGTTCAGAGACTGTGACTGACTGGCCCAGAGTCACCCAATGGCAGAAGGGAGATTCAGACTTCCGTCTCCCAGATCCTAGTCCGACATTCTAACCACTCTGAGAGCCAGTTTGGTGTAATGGTTAGGAGCACGGACTCTAATCTGAGAGAACCAGGTTTGATTCCCCACTCCTCTACATTAAGCTGCTGGTGTGACCTTGGGTCAGTCATAAGTTTGTTTAAAGCTGTTCTCTCAAGGGCAGTTCTCAAAGAGCTCTCTCAGCCCCACCTACCTCACAGGGTGTCTGCTGTGGGGAGGGAAAGGGAAAGGAGATTGTAAACCACTCTAAGACTCCTTCAGGTAGTGATGGGCGGGGTATAAATCCAATCTCTTCTTCTTATCACCCACAGTTGGCACCAAGCAGGGGTCATTTCCTGCAGGAGCGCACAGGAGCGGAGCTCCGGCAGGAAAGAGCCCAGGGGGCGGGCACATGCAACAAGCCCCACCCCCTGCTCCCAGCAGCCCTCAGTCAGAGCAAGAAGCAGTCAAGTAAGTTTCAGAGACCCCCCCCCGGCCCCCCAGTCCAAAACAGTCCAGTGGCACCTTTAAGACCAAGTTTTATTCAGGTACAAGCTCTCCCTCCTCTGCGAGGACAGATCTGTACGTTCCTCCCCCCCTCCAATAGCTAGCAATCCAAAACAGTCCCGTGGAGCCTGAGCGGTGGGTGTTGCCTTCTGACACACTTCCGGTGATGTCAGGGGGTGTGGCATATGCAAATAAGTAATGCTAATGAGCTATGCTAATGAGCTCCTGCACCTCTTTTTCTACAAAAGGACCCCTGGCACCAAGTAATATCTTTCTGGCTCAAGCTAAAACTTAAACCAACTGGATTAACCCCCTTAATTGTTCTATCACTATCACTCAGGTTGGCTGGACGCAGTTGAGAATAAATCACTATTTCTTGGCTTCTCCTTCACAGCAATATACTACCTTGGGTTCTCAGGAGCTAATAAAATGCTTAAACAACCAATCTGGAACATAGCTCTTCAAGCTGACAGAGCTCGGGAATGCCTCTATCCAGCAGTAGGGAATCATAGCTAAAACTTTGCATCATGGAACTATCTTTACACTCTAGAATTCCCCCAAATACCACAGAGCTTTCACCTTGGGCTGCTTTAATCACCTGTAGGGTTGCCAAGTGTATCTTTGCCGGGAGCAGGGGGCTCCTGGCCGGCATCTTGTGCGCGCGCCGCACGCACGTCACCCGGAAGTGACGGGAGGACGCCAGGCACGCTGGGGGGCGAGACACCGGCATACCAAAGACAACCCCGCCCCCAGCGTGCCCGACGTGCCCATGTCACTTCCTGGTGACGCACACGCTGGGGTGGGGTTTCCCCCAGGGCCCGATTCCGCGGCGACGGAAATCGGGCCTCCAAAGCGGGGGATTACCCGCCACCCGCCCCCACTTGGCAGCCCTAATCACCTGGCCTCAGCTCCACTGGATGGGAGATATTTACACATTCCCTGCTCCCATCTGTGTTCCTGCCAACTGAACACAGTCAAAACAGTGGAACACATGTTATAATCCTGCCTATTTTACAAAGACGTTTGTTCCATGTATCTCACCCCTGTTCTATCCAAGTTCTCAGGAAGATCTGATAAATTCTATACATACCTCCTCTAGGAGACCGATCTAACAAGACCACCTCTAAAGTGGTCAAACCCTGTGCTGAGGCCCTGGCCATAAGAGATATTCTAAACTTTTAAACAACTTTTTATCTATAATCAGTTATAGCTATATGGCTGTGAATTTTAATCCTTGTATATTATTTTTATATTTGTATGTAAACTGTGCTGGTGAATTACTTGTCTGATATTTGATCATAATAAATGTTGAAATGACGATATACAACAAGGGAATTGCAGGTCACATAAGTAGCTGCCTTTTGTTTCCTTGATACTTCTAACAGATGGGCTATACCCTCCTAGGTTGAGCCTTCATGTTTTTTGAAGCTGAAGTCATACTACAAAGCAGATATATGAGTCACTATCTGTAGTTGTAGCTCACTTCCTGTTGTGACAAGCAGTCTGGCACAATGGCATGTACACCCCCACCAAACCTAAGTTTTGACTGGGGATGTGCCAATACAACACTTTTTTGTTCTTCCCCATTTCATATGTTGTCAGTTATGAGTTTAAGTTGACCTCAGCTTTGCTGCTATCACTGATGATTCTTGTTTTTCTCATGCCACATCATTTTCACATTATATGTAACTGGAGCAAAAATAATGTTGAAAATGCATCAATTTTAATGGGAAAAATTGGTGTGAGGAAAAAATTGATGCAAAAATCAAAGCTTACGGGTTCATTTTGCACAAGGGGAAAGCAAAATCAAAACAGGATTTTTAAGGAATGAAACAGCTAGTTTTTAAAATCTGGTCTCACCCCAACTTCTGACACAGAGGAAATAATTTCCAAGCCAGTGATGCTAAATTAGCCATTAGCCATTGGTATCATCAACTACAGCAAGTGAAAGGACCAACAGTTTATTCTCCACTGGATATGATATAGAGTGACATTGTACTCAGATTCCTGAGCCAATGAAGAAATAATTTTTTTAAAAGTCCTGGGTGTCACATCCATGGAGAGAACTCCACAGTTCTAACTCTGAGAATCTTGGCTACAGGTGGCAGCTTTTTAATAATTGTATGTGTGGACAGACTCAGAAAAATGACACACTGTTACTAAGGTATATTTTAGAGTGATCGGGATCAAAAACCAACCACTCCATTACCGTGTTGATTAGTGACTACTAATTCAGATACAATTCAATTCAAATACCTTTTATTGGCATACAATATTAAAAGTGTCTAATTCAGATACAGCTTCCACTGATCCATTCCCAAACCATCTTCATGACACATGGAGGTTGATCAGAATAGGATGCTTAATGTTCTGCAAGAAGAAGTTAAAGATTTTTGCTTCCAAATGAAGGAAAGCATCAAAGTATAAATGCTCCAACAATGGAAAAAGAAATGCCGAAAGAACTGAAGTGTTAAGAGGTTTTTTTGCTGGGAATTTAATTTAAATTTATCCCTGGCCAGCCTAGTGGCAATTCATTTTAAGAATCTAACAAATTAATTTGGCTTTGTTACAGTTCCTGATGGCTATAGTTTATGTTATGTCACGTAATGAATCGCAAATTAATCAAAAGCCTTACAGAACTAGAACATTTAATCTGCTTAACTGAGCAGCAGATCCTGTTTTGCTCTGTCTGGGAAAGGGCTTCAAGTGTTGTCCCCACCCACCTTCATTTACATTTATCTGATGTCATAAAACTATGTGAAAGTTAATCTGGACAATGAGGCGGACATGCATCTAGGATTCCTGGACTCAAATTCATGTTTACTTCAACTAGACTATGGCCTCAGGCAAGTCCATCTCTGCCTCTGTTACCTACTTGTAACTCATTGACATATCCTACTATATAATAAATGTGTTTTGGAGTGGCACTCTCCAGAACATTCCATGCACTCCCAAATCAGTTAGCTGCCTGATCTGTCACTCAGAAGGACTTCGTAGGCACTGACTGCATTGCCTGAGTCCCGCCCACAGAAGCAGCACGCGCCAAAATTCACCTCAGAACAGAACTTTACCTCAGGAGAGAGGACAGAGACTCCGGCCCTGTCGTTTCCTGGTGACTCTGGCCCTGCCATTTTGCGCTGCCGCTGCTCCCAGCCCAGCCTCGGCCTGCACTGAGGCTGATGCCTACTGGCACTCCATGCTTCTGCCTGTCCCGTCCCATCCCAGAGCCCCGAACACTCCCGAAGGTAAGTAGGCAGCCTTCCTACATATGCAGGTGGGGTGGGAGAGCTGCGGGTAGCCTGGCTGGGGCGGCAGGGCCTTAATTGGGGGGGAGCCGTGGGTGGCCTGGCTAGGCCAGTGGGGCCTGGATCGGGGGGGGGAGAGCTGTGGCTGGCCTGGCTGGGGCAGTGGGGCCTTGATCAGGGGGGTGGGAGAGCTGCGGCCGGCCTAGCTGGGGCAGTGGGGCCTTGATTGGGGTGGGGGGGAGAACCGTGGCCAGCCTAGCTGGGGTGGTGAGGTCTTGATTGGGGGTGGGAGAGCCGTGGGTAGCCTAGCTGGGGCAGTGGGGCCTTGATCGGGGTTGGGAGAGCCACGGGCGGCCTCACTGGGGTAGTGGGGCCTTGATCAGAGGGAGGGCCATTGGCAGCCTTCTTTTCCTCCTTCT